CAAAATCAACAGGATATGAGAATGGCCCTACTGCGACTATCAAGTCCTCTACAATGCCCCTAGGATGCACAATGGACATGTCAGCTAGTTGAATGCTCATCCTAGTGTTACTGGGTTCACCTAGGCCTAGCTTTTTAAATAGTTTATATGGCATTACGTTTATGCTAGCGCCTAAATCCACCAAGGACTTTCCTACATGCAAACTACCAATCATGCAAGGGATAGTAAAACTTCCTGGGTCTTTGCGCTTCTTTGGTAGCTTGTTCTGCAGGATGGCAGAACACTCCTCGTTGAGCATCACTGTCGACAGCTCCCTAAGCTTCCTCTTGTTGGTGAGGAGATCCTTCATGAATTTAGCATGATTGGGCATTTAGGTCCTTCGGATGATGAATGGTATGACCTGGTAAAGTGTCTGGTTCCCTCTGTGCAATAGCTTGAGCCACACCTCCAAGATGGGTCTGGATATCCCTCAGAACAGCCTGGGTATTCCTCTGGTCAGCTTCAAGCTCCAGGAATTTTGTTGAAGCTTTATCCATGAATTGCTCAATGTTGTTGAATTTATGAGCACTGGAGTAGGCTAGAGAACCCACCAGATCCCGGAGCTCTACCATCGGATCATTCTGCACTAGGGTTGCAGGAGCCGCACCTGGCTATTGGAAAGGTCACGGCTGCGGTTGAGTAGCCTGCCCCTGTCTGGGCTGGTAGAGAGACTGCTGCTAGAATTGCCCCTGCCTGGGCTGATATGGCGGTCTCTGGAAACCTAGAGTTCCCTGGGAGACGGGTGGCTTAGGATTTTTTCCATTCCAAGAGAAGTTGGGATGCTGGCGCCATCCCCGTTATACGTGTTGCTGTAGGGGTCGAAACGCCTGACAATGCCGATGAAGTCCAATTGCTCCTGGGGAGTAGTAGATTCCTCATCGCCTGACAGTCCTCTACGGTGTGATGTCCAGCCACTCCTTGGCCTGCCCCTCCAGAGTGAATGAGAAGTATCTCAGTTGGATGGCATCGACAGAGACCCCATTTATCTTGATCCCATCGATCAGCTTGTGGAATCGCCGTAGGTGCGATCTGGGACACTCCCCCTTCTTTCCACGAAATACCACCGAGCCACACAGCATGGTGATGACAGAGGTGCTCACCTCGAAGTTGTTAGCTGGAACTTGAGGGTGCTGGATGGGCGACCTCATGTTTGCGGCTCTGGCAGTCCAGTAGTATCCCATGGTGTGCTCCTCGGGGACAACCGCGTTATTATTCACCGGATCGCCCATTTCTTCCTCATTGATGATGTGCAGTTGCTCCAAAGCTTCCTCCGCAGCCAGTCATGCCTTTAAAGCTCGCTTGGAGTTCCTACAAGTCCGTTCAAGCTCTTGGTATAACGGCAATAGATCTCCCGACTGGTGACGTGCACTACATGCACACAGTCTGGAAACACAACCCGTGAGGGCACACAGGCGGAAGTGAGAGAATGCAGTAAAGAAAATGCTAGAGTAACAGACGTTCACGTGTCTACAATAACCTAGAGTCCTGACAACGGCGCCAAAAACTTGACACGTTAAAACACAACACCAAACTGCGACCAAGTATAATCGCATAATGGAAATGCAGTATAGTGGAATCAAGTAATAAATATCAACTCAGGGCCTAGATTCATTGCCTACTTCGTGATTATCTATTATCTAGCGTGATTAAGTGAATGTAGGTGAGTTAAAAGTAAAAGCAGAAATAAAAACAGTAAATTGTCCGGTTTCCTAAAGCAAGAGAAGAGTCACTCGGGAATGAGTCCCCTTAGTTCCTTAGTTAGGAATCTCTGAAACTGACCAAGCCCTCTTAGACAGACTAGCCGGCAGACGACTAGCCTTCATCGGGATAGACTGCTAAGGCAATACACACAGAACTTCACTACTGGAAGTAGATTCCAGTACAAAGCAGTGAATTGACTGACTATTGTACAATCAATTCACTCCTACCGATTGAAGAAACTCTAACAACCTGATCAGATTCTATCTATCTCAGGTTGCAGCAGAAATCAAAAGAAGTTGATCAGAATTTCATTGACTCAATAAACACACTTCAATCGATTATAATCAAACAATATATCAGTCCAAAAGTCATTACAACCTAAATCCCTAACACATGGAACTAGGGTTCTTCATACCCAAGTGAGAGAAAGAGGAATAATTTGCTCTGGGATGTCAATCTTCACTCCTGGGGATGCAATCTGTGCTTCAATGATGAGAAATCCACTCCAAATAGCTCTTGGGGTTTGTTCTTCGCACTTTCCCTCTCTAGAACTCTGTTTTTGCTCCAAAAATTCGTCTCCCTCTCCAAACCCCGATATTGGGTTAAAAAGCAGCTGTCCGCGATTACATGGTCAGGCCGCACGGCCGTGTAACCTCCTTGGCTGCCCGTGCACCCCAAAACGCACCGTTTGAATTAGTTCCGCGAGGGGAGTGCACGGCCATTGCACGGCCCGTGCAAACTGAGAGCGTGGTTGTGCAGCTTCTCGCATGATTCATCACGGCCAGAAAATGAGTTGTGCACGCCCGTGCGAAAATAGGGTCAGGCCGTGCGACTTCTTGCACAATTCATCACGGCCGAAAATTATGTCATGCACGGTCTTGCAAACCCTGGTCGCGCATCTTCACTTGCACGGCCACCATGCACGACCGTGCGCCTTCCCCGTACTGGTCGTCCAACTCGTCTGCTCTCCATCGCTCGTCCCGTTTCCGCCCAATCGAGCCCAAACTCGTGCTCAAACCTTCATTCACGCATTAGGACCAGAAATGTCATAAACAAGAACAACCTAGCGTAAAGTCGGCTTAAAACCCGAGATCTGAGCCTCAAACAATATAAGAATGATGGACAAAAACATGTGTAAATATCGAGTCATCAACTACTTAGTTGGGTGTCTCATGTCTTTCACCTAGTTAAATTCTAATGCTTGACAAGTGAGGACTTTACGCTCAGTGGGTGTAGTGGTGACCACATTGGTCTCAAATACCTTGATGCTTGATGCCTTAGTGATACCCATGTTGACCACTCTTGCATGATGTCATGCTTGTAGGATCTTGATAAGGTGGTCTACCACATGATTGTGTACATGGCTGACACTTAGAATCTTGATGACATTGTCGATTATGTACCATGCTTGACTACCCACGAGGCTGAACCTGCCTGACTACTTGGGGTGAGGGTGCGTTGTGCCTACCCACTTGGAATGATGTCATGTTTGACACTTTGGTGTTGATGACCCCATCATCACAAAACTTAGCCAAATTCTCCTTTTTCCCACTATGCCTACCCCTCTTGAATGATGTCATACTTGACATCCCGGTTATTGGTAGGCTAGCAACCAACATACTTAAAGTTGTGTACTTGGTTTGTCGATGTCTTATATGCTTGATAGGTAGGGAATTGGAGTATAATTGAATTTTTATTTTAGATTATAATTATATTTATGTTTGATTATTACATCAAATGCATTGTAGTCTAATGATAAACATATTCATTTAATAACAACGGTCCCATTGGATGCAATCACACGAGTTACAACTTAAGATTTTTTCTAGACTCGATCTACTATTGGGAGGTTGATATTTTTTCTACAAATTTTAGATATGTTTTGGGTCGTCCCTGAGGTCGAGTAAGACATGTCAGGTCGAAATGGTAATTCCTGGTGAAAGATGAGAAATGAAGCAAATAAATAGGATTAGAGTTTGTATAAATATAATCTAAATTGTTTAGAATGACCTCCATGTGATTTTAGCCCTATGATTAGTTTTGAGGTTATAAATGTAGTTATTAGTAGGGATAACCCCTAATAAGTTAGTACTTAGCAGCCTATTTTCTTCCCATGGACGACAAAAAGGACTCAATATTTGGATATTGGTCAAACCCAACTTATTACGGGCAAAATAAAGTTTGGATAATTTAATTTTCGAGTCACACTCATACCCAATTTTTTAGTTTGGGTCTAAATCGGAACATAATTTTGGAAATCCAAAAGAAAATGGTTACTCAATTATAATACAATCATTGTCTTAATATATATATTTTTTTTTTTGTTCTATAAAAAAAAAAAAAATTGTTATGAAACAAATTAAAGGGTGAAAACACTTACATTAAAGGTGTATAACTGGATTGAAGGTAGTTAAGGAAATTATTAATATTGCTTTTATTATATATATAATCATCTAAACCCAATTATATCTACTCAAATGAATTGACCCAAATATTACCAGCTCAAAGCTAACACAAACTCAAAGGATATTAAAAAAAAAATACACATGAGTCCATTTGGATCCGATCCAATACTCGTGATGAAATTAGACAATGAATGGACTTACTGTCACTTCTATTTCTTCCAAATAATTGATGGCAAGTGGTCGGGTTCTACTTTTAAACCTTTAGCAATTAGCATCAAACTTTTAGGTTATACCTATGCAATATGCACATGGTTTATCAGTTTAGAGTGACATCTCACATGCGAAGCATGGTGCGGGAAATACTTTCCCCATAGCCGGCCAACCCCTTCTTTTCACTTTTTAAGTACTGGCCGGTTCCTTCATCTTTTCCTTCATATTCTCTCATTTCGCGGAACCAAATCGACTTTTGATGCATGTGCCCTGTAATTCTGCGGTAGTTGCCATGCCATGCATGCAAGAGCACTTTAATTCATCGAGCTTTCGCGGAAAAGAACTTTCCAGCATCTGCAATCCACTAATTACCCGAAAAAGGCCACTTGAATTGAGAAGGAAAAAAAAAAAAAAAGCAGCTGCGTTTTGTTCCTTTCTAGCCATGCTGATCTCTATGATCAAACCTTTGCACACCAGTACATGCATATATGCTGTTGCATGCCTCGAACTTGATCTTTTAATCAGTTTATTTATTTATTTAATTGCTAGCTAGTCGGTGGCTATATATAGCTGAATGCTGATAGGTTCTGATCAGTTGAATCACCTGATAATAACAAGAATTTTTACAGTTAGTGAGAAGGGTCGATGAGGACGAGGAGTAAGAAAGCTTCCGCTTTCTTGAAGCACACGATATCGCTGCTGGCCTCGGCGCTGCTGAAGGCGAAATCCGCGGCTGTCGGCGACAAGACAAGGGCAGTACTGAAAGCTCGGATGGCCATGACGTCTTTGGTGATGGAGAGGAAGAGAAAGGTGATGCAACTGCAGCTGGCTTCCGTCTGCGACAAGATCAACACAGTTTTCGGTGGGAGCAGCCGCCACGATGATCATCATCATGAAGATCATCTGGCGATGGTTGTGTACGATCCTAATCGAAAAAGCAGGGCAGATGCAAGCTGCTGCAGCTGCTGCTGCACAACCTGCTGCAACGACGATGGTCAGGCAGTGCTGGATATTGCACATTGCCGCAGCCAAGAGGCTGGCCAGCCTGGCCTTGTTAAGGTTGGCGGCAGTGAGTGCAATATAATAAGTAATGAAGGCGAACAATGTTGTCCGTACTATGATGATCAAGATGATGATGATCTGGTCATAATCAAGGGCAATAAGGAGGAAGATGATGATTATGGTCATCATGTTCATGACGACGATGAGAATATTGATGACGTGGCGGACATGTTCATCGTGAAATTCCATAAGCAGATGCGTCTGCAGAAGCTGGAGTCCTTCAAAAGGTATCAAGAGATGCTCCAGCGAAGTCTTTAAGGGTCTGCATCTGACTTTTCAGACGTTAATTAATTAATATATATATCTTTTTTGACAATACATGTATGTCCGATAATATTCTCTATAAATTTCTTTGATGCGATATATATATATGACGTTTTATATGATCTGTATCAGTGTATCTTTTGGCTTATCTTCGGTTAAGTATTCTAAGGGTGTCTTTCAGTTTTATTTAGATAGGTGTATATTTTATTTCGGTGCAGCAACCTACGCACTTTTGTTTGGTGTTGTCAATTTTTGGACGATACGTCTCTTGTCACAATGACCATTGTCTTTATTAAGCTAATCTGTGACGACTCACGTGAGATATCATGAGTTGTAAGTATCGAGTTTAACTGACAAGACGCTTTTTGAGTTGAAATGAAAAAGTTTTTGTAAGAACTTCGAAGATAAAACTTGCTCACTATGGAATGCTGCAAGGATTAGCGACCTCACAGGAAGTCACTTTAATATGCACCCCAAGATAAAAACAAAATATGTAAGGGTCTAGGCCTAAAACAGACAATATATTGGTCAAAAAATGTTCGAGATGTTACAAGTATTATCAGAGCCTCTCTGTGTTCCTCATGGGTAATGGTGGGGCAACCCTCAACGATGACGTTAAGTCCCTGGGAGAGTGTATGTAACACTTTAGGCAAATTGATTTTACAAAGCACGAAAGAGATCCATGATTAATAAGTAAGAAACTGAGGCATTTTGCAATGAAATGAAAGAGTTCTTGTAAAAACTCTAAGGTTAATATGTGCTCACCGTGGAGCACTGCAAGGATGATGGCCTCGTGGGAAATCACTTTGATATGCACTCGTAGGCACAAAACCGTAATGACCTAGACTCAAAACATACAATATCTTGGTCGGAAAAATGTTAGGAATGTCACATAATCCCTCCATTGCATACATTCCTCTCTCTCTCCCTCCCTCTCTCTCTCTCTCTCTTCTAATCACGTTTGATTTTCCTCATTCACTCACTCTTTACTAACCTAAATCTTGTTCGATTAAAAAATCTCTAATGAAACAGTGCAATTGCCCGATGCAATTTATGATCGTTGATCGGTAGTTATTTCTCTACGTCGGCATCGTCCTCCATCTTCGCTCGCCCTTCCATCCATCTTGTTGCTGGTGCATTTTCCGACAAGGTCGCCTCTGCATATTTCATCAAAAGCCAAATTCATCGTGATTTTCCACTCTTACGTCCTAAACAAGCAGTTTTCAAGTATGCGTTCTAGACCAGTTCGATCGAGTTGGCATTCTCCTATATTTGGTTTGCATTGTGATATTTCTAACATTTTTCTATTATTTTTTGACAAACCAGTTGTATTACTGAAGAAGTGATCAAAGTGGTACATGCTCAAATGAAAGACCGAAACAAATTACATAGGGCAAAAAAAAAAAAAAGGTCACCCTAGCCAACCAAGAGCATATATAATCAAACAAAATAGTCCAATTACACAAAACCCAGGTAATACAAAGGTAAACCTCTAAAACCCTAGCACAATCTGCCATCTAACTTTAGAAACTAACGTGCCCACTAGATACTCTCATGCCCACCCATCAGCTTGAAGAGCAACTTAATGACGAATCCATCCAGAGCCGGACCAAGAAGCACAAGTCGAAGGATGCCAGAGTACTTTGTCCCTAGAAGGAAGAAGAAAGAGAAGAAGTTAAATCCTCAAGGCAAGAAGAACTAGAATCCCACCCCATCTTTAGTGGATGGTTGCAAGAACAGTCGATCTTCCACCAAGCAACAAACGGAAGCCACAGGAGCTAAATGAAGGAGTCTTCATCTTCAAAAGCCACAAACTTTGTCTGAGTCGATTCACTGAGGAGGGTTCCTGCATCTCCAAATCATTGCATAAAATGGATGAAGCAAGGAGGTAGGCTAAAAGGAAAAGGAAGGAGAAAGTAAGATGAATTAAAAAAAAAAAAAAAAAATCCACCCCCATTTGACACCCAAAAATCGAATAGAATCTAGAAATGAGAAGTCGGAACAAAAACAGCGACGCCAACCCCTTAATGGAGCGATTGAAGTTGGAAATAATAATCTCCCATGGAGAGATTCGGGAAAACATAAGGAAATGAGAATAAAATTAAATAAAGCAATAAAAAAAGATGGGTTGCCGACGGTCACTAGGAGGTGAACGGACAACCCCCACTTAAAAGTAATAGGAGAGCTAGAGAGAGGCGAAAGCTATTTCAAAGTATAGAGAGAAGGGGTGGCTGACAACCCCCACTTAAAAGTAATAGGAGAGCTAGAGAGAGGCAAGAGCTATTTCAAAGTATAGAGAGAAGGGGTGGCTAAAATTGTTGCATACGAGAATTTCTAGTATTACTTGTGTTGTGTTTCTGGTAAGGTTTAGGAGATTCGTGTTTTACTTTATTTAGTGTTTGTAATATGCGTTAGCTGCTTTTAGTGTGCTTTATGAAATTTGTACTATGCATTTTTTTTTTGTGTTTCTCGTATGTATTATGGTATTTCTCAAATTATCCTTAAAAAATATTTTTTAATTGAGCCATTAAAAATTAAATTAATTAGGTGTCTACAATATATTTAAGCAAGTTCTTAAAAATTCAGAGTTAATGATACTTGTGCTCCACCCCGTCCCATTCTTGGCCTACTCTATCTCAATTTCTTATCATCTATTTACAAGTATATTAATAGCTAGATATTGTAACATCCACCCCGTTCAAATTTTCCTGCAACGAGAGTGAAAATAGGAAGAGTATTTTTGTCTTCACAATGATCTATTTGTTTTTCATTTATTCATAAAAAAGGAAACTCATACTAAGATTCAAACCATGGTCATTTTCAACCATGACAATAATCTTAACCAATCAGACTACATAAATTAGTTGTATCATTTTAAATAAAAAAACATACATGAAGCTAAAATTAAAAAATCACAAAACTGTTCAACGGTTAGCTAAGGTCACTAAATCTTCGCTCGGTACTTATTGGTGTTTTGATACTTTGATTTTCATATTTCATTTTTAGGCTAAATTGCAAGTTTGGTCACTCGGATTGCTACAAAATTTCAGGTTTGGTCACTCAAATTGGTTATTCAATTCGTAGTCACTTAAATTAGTTGAACAGTCCAAGTTCGGTCACTCTCCGTTAATCTCCATTAACGTCTTCAGTTTATTGCTGGTGTGGCTAACAGAATAGCTGAGTCATCCATATTTAACCAAAAAATAATAATAATTCAACCCTCCACGTAAAAAACTCTAACCCGACCGACTTTTTAACCCATCCGATGAAAAAAACCGAACCCGACCCTCGTTGACCTCCGCCTTCTTCTTCTTTACTTTCGTCTTCTACCTCTAGTTGTTAACCGGAAAACCCCTAAATCTCAAATAACTCGGCGGCGACCTAATTGAGATTGGCGAAAGGTTACTCACTATAAATGAATCTCTGGCTTTCGTTTGCCTCCTAGAATCGTTCATTTCATTTGGGGATAGGGGGAACTATTTTCTAGTTGTGTTATGTGAAAGACCCAAGGTTCCGGTGCTACAAACACCTCTACCACAATAGGCGATTCGGCAGAAGATCAGCTCTCCAGATCCCAATAGTAGATCTCTCCGTTCGCTGCTGAGATTTGAGATCAAAGAGCAGCGTCGGTGGTGCTGGTGAATCAATGATGACGGCGCCTTGGTAACGATAGACTAGGAGTACCACGACAGATTCGCTTGTTGGTTTCTCTATTCGGCGGGATGGAAGGCTTCATGGGCTTTGACGTTTCCAGAGTCGCGAACGATTCAGATCTACGGGAGCTACCTCCCTCTCGGCGTCATCCCTTCGTACTCTCTTTCTCTCTTGTGCGGGTTGACGGTGGCGAAGAAGAGGTGGAAAAGATGCCCACGGGAATCTGTGGGTTTCAATTCGGATAAGAAAGAGGGGTTAACGGCGGCGGAGAAGAAGCCTAACGTCGCCTTCGTCTTTTCGATTGCGGCCGGGAATCCCTAGCCTTCTTTCACACCTTGTCTGTCGCTGTCAAGGCCTGTGTCCAGAACCAGAAACCATCACCGTCGAATGATCTGAGAATCGCGTCGCCCTCCATTCCCACTCAATCTTGCCGGCTCTCTCAATCTCGAGATATCGCCGTAGATTTGGGATTATGATTTGGTGGCAGTATTGGCGATTGAAGAATTCACGCACCTAGAACCTTGAATCGGCGCTAGAGGAAATCAATAAGGAAATGTGTGTGGGGAAAAAAACATCGGAGGTCCGTCACCAGCTCCTTCAGTCGCCTTCCTTTCTCTCGCAGCGGCGCGAATCGTAGAAAGAAAAGCACAAGGAAGAGGAGGCATATTTTTCTGGGTGGGTTAATGGTTTTTTTAGGTTGGGTGGGTTGGGTTGTGTTTATATGAGGTGGCAGGTTTTTCTGATGTGGCGGGTCAATTTCTGTTTTTTGTTGGGTTTAAATTGGATGACTTGGCATCTCTGTTAGCCACGTCAGCAGTTAACTGACGGCACTAACGGAGTCTGACAGAGGTTAACGGAGAGTGACCGAACTTGAACTGTTCAACTAATTTAAGTGACTACGATTGGAATAAACCAATTCGAGTGACCAAGCGTGAAATTTTGTAGCAATTCAAGTGACCAAACTTGCAATTTAGCCAAACCTTTTTAATTATACTTTGATACTTAATTTAAATTTCGAATTATCTTACAAATATAGTCTAACTTTAAAATCATAGACCAAATATCATTGGTTCGATATTACATATTGAATTGCAATATCGAATTTGTAGAAGCGAAGTTGAACTCTTACATTAGTATTAGTTTATAGAACTACTATGAGGCAAACTATATGGGGACGGGTTGTTTGAACGTTTTAGCTTGGCTAACCGTTAAGTTTTAAACATCTTCCTAATCCGACATGCATAATTGGATCCAACAATCATTAGACGAGGTTGAGTTTAATAGGTTGGTTTATTTCATCTTTTTGTATTAAAAATTTGTAGAGCAAGGACATGTCCACA